CCTCCTGGGCCACAGCAGAGAGCTGGCCTGGAAGAGGGGCAACTGGGACAGAATCTGGCGCCCCGACCGGGACTAGAACCCGATGTGCTGGCGCCACAAGGCGGAGGATTAGCCTAGTGAGCCGCGGCGCCGGCCCATATTCATTTTTTTAAAAAGAGATTTATTTATTTACTTGAAAGTCAGAGTTACAGAGAGAGAGGGAGAGACTCAGAGAGAGGTCTTCCATCTGCTGGTTCACTCCCCAGATGGCTGCAATAGCCGATGCTTGGTCAGGCCAAAGCCAGGAGCCAGGAGCTTCTTCCAGGTCTCTCACATGGGTAGCAGGGGCCTTAGCACCTGAGCCATCTTCCACTGTTCTTCCCAGACCACTAGTAGAGAGCTGGCTTGGAAGTGGGGCATCCCAGACACAAAGCAGCCCCCGTATCAGATGCTGGCATTGCAGGCAGCAGCTTTACCTGCTACGCCAAATGCTGGTCCCTTCATATTATTTAAAACAGATTTTTTTTTTAATTTCACAGGCAGACAGACAGAGATCTCCAATCTACTGGTTCACTTCCCCAAAAGACCATATCAGCTAGGGTTACACCAGGCCAGAAACTCAATCCAGCTCTCCCACATGGATACCAGGGACCCAAGTCCCGGAGTCATTACCTGCCACCTCCCAAGGTGCTCATTAATAGGAAGCTGGAAAGGGGGGAGGGGCCAGGATCAACCCCAGGCACTCTGATAGGAGATAGAGATGTCCCAGGTGGTACCCTAACTGCTGTGCCAAACTCCTTCCTCTAGAGTCTCCATTTTACAAAAGAGGAGTGAGGTTCTGAATGCTAGATGACTCTCCTGAGGCCGGCCCACTATTCAGTGCCGAAGTTGGGATTCACACCACACACAGCCGACCCAGAACGGTGTGAGTGTCCATCTCTGTATGGGTGCCTTGCTCACCCTCATCTGTGAGGGTGGCTGTTGAGCAGCTCAGATCTTCCACTACCGTGCATGTGTCTGCGAATGACCATCAAAACCCTGCAGATGCTGACTTGGGGATTACAGATAAATGGTAGGGAGTGGGTGGCTTGCAAACATAGAATCCATGAGAAGTTGAGATCAACTGCAGGTTGTCCCTATCCTGCAGGATTTTTTTATTGTTATTTAAGTTTTATTTATTTGAAAGAGTTACACAGAGAGAGGCATAGAGAGATCTCCCATCTTCTGGGTCACTCCCCAAATGGCTGCAACAGCCAGGGCTGTGCCAGGCCAAAGCCAAGAGTCCAGAGCCTCTCCTGGGTCTCCCACATGGGTGCAGGGGCCCAAGGACTTGGGCCATCTTCCACTGCTTTCCCAGGCACACAAGTCAGGAGCTGCGTCAGAAGCGGAGCTGCCAGGTCTCAAATCAGCACCCATGTGGGATGCTGGCACCACAGGTGACAGCTTTACCAGCCCCCTGCAGGAGGACATGACCTCCCCTTTCCATCCCTGCCCCATTCATATATGCAACTTATCAGGGCTCCAGAGTTTTCTAGAATCATTCATAAAAAGCCTCTCCAACAAATGTCATCAAAACACACCTCTTTATGAGCTGTGACAGCCCTGGAACTCCAGATGTGAACCTGTAAAGGTGTGGACATAGGGAAACCACATCTGATCTCTCTCTTTTTTTAAAGATTTATTTTATTTATTTGAAAGACAGAGTTACAGAGAGAGGCGGAGAGATAGAGAGAGGTCTTCTATCCGCTGGTTTACTCTGCAGATGGCCCCGATGGCCAGAGCTGCGCTGATCCAAAGCCAGGAGCCAGGAGCTTCTTCCAGGACTCTCATGGGGTACGGGGGCCCAAGGATGTGGGCCATCTTCTACTGCTTTCCCAGGCCACAGCAGAGAGCTGGATCGGAAGTGGAGCAGCCGGGACTAGAACTGGCGCCCATATGGGATGCCGGCGCTTTAGGCCAGGGTTTTAACCCCGCTGCACCACAGTGCCAGCCCCAACATCTGGTCTTAAAGAGCACAGCCAGCACTACTTGCTGGTGTGTGGGGTCCTGGGAGACAAGGCGCAGACCATAGACAAACATCTGGCCTGTATCTGTAGGGCTCTAGAGTAAATAGGAGAAAGCAAGTACTAATTCATGACAAGGAAATTAGACTGCAAGGAAAATGAATAGCATGGCCTGCCCACAGGGCAGATTATGATGGATTTAGGGAAGCAAGAATGCTCAAGTACTTGAATCTCAATAAACTCTGTGGTAATTCTCATACCATGACCTGCTCTCCTGCCTGTAAGGAAAAGCAGTGCAGAACAGAGAGGAGACAGAATATGAACTCGCAGCCAGGCCGAATTTATTCCAAGAAAATAAACCCGCAGAGGTCGACCAACTGTCAGCGTGTACACAGACCAAACACGCGGCAGAGGCCAGACCCCAGCACACTGGGCCTTTTTATCTCTTAGTGGGCTAGGGGTTGGGTCGAGGGCAGTAGGTAGAAGTGAGCTTCTCCATTCTGGTTCTTCAGGTTTGGCCCCCTGGCTTCCAAACCTGGGGAAAAATGCAGGGGGTGGGGTCGGGTAGGGTGTGAGACAGAACTGGCCCCCTGTACGAAGGCAGGGGGAACAAGAACCTAAAGTGGTTGAGGCTTATGTCCTTGCTCCATCAGCGCCCATGCTATTCCAAGCTCCTTTCATAGTGAAAAATATTGATTTCCCTAAGCTAAGGGGATGAAAAAGATCTTTTTTTGATCATGCCACAGAGCATGATTTTCTTAATTTCACGGGCTATGCAGATGGGCCCCTTCCATAGGGGACAGGGCTAAACAGGAGCATGGAAAACAGACAGCCACACACCTGCTGTGCTGACTTACTCCCCAGCCCAGGGACCAGCCCTGGTTCCTGCCTGCCTGCCTCTGTACCCCTAATTCAGAACCCAGCTGATCCCTACTCATGGATGCGGTTCTCCAAGGCCCACCTTGCACTCTGTACAAGACTAGTTCTAGTGCAAATCCGTAGCTCTGTGCCTGCAGGCGTCTTCAGCCTGCAGCCTGCATTCGGTCCAGCCCCACCTTCCACTCGCCATTGCCCCCAGCTGGAAGCAACAGTGGGAGCCTTCTGGGGCGGGGAGAACTTACCCTAATGGAAGAGGGGGGCTGGGCTCCTAGGTGTGCCCAGTGGTGAGTTGGAGAGGTCGGAGGGGCAGGTCTACTCAGAGGACCACTTGGGGGGGGGGGGGCAGCAGTCACTCAGGTTTGTCCTCATCCCAAACCCTGGGTGGGGGGTTGTATGAATCCTGGAGGAGAAATTGAGGAGCCAGGAGGAGGAAATGCTCCCAGGCTGCCTCACTCCATGCAGAGTTGATCCTCACACGACAACAGGTGACAGAACCCGGGAGAGGAATGGCAGGGATTCTGGGGACAGCAGAGTCACCAGCAAGGATGCTCACCCCGTGCGACCTCCCCTAGAAACCCCCTCAGCGCAGGTCTCGGAGGACGCAATTTTGCAGAGTGCAAGGTGTTCTTCCTCAAAGAAGGGCGCAGGGGAACAGGGAGGAGGAAGCCCTAGGCTTTGCCCTCTGCAAGCCGAGGTGGGAAGCAGGAGGTGTTGCAATTGTTTGCCTCACTGAGGGCAGAATCAGCATCCCGATTTAGCATCCCCCTCAGAGCATTAGCCGAGCTGCCGTCACAAAGAGTCCTTGGCCCCTGGAAGATTTTTATCTGGCAGGGGAAATTCTCAAAACAGCACTGGCGGAGTGGGAGCCAACGTGGGGGTGGGGAGGAAGCGCTGGGGCCTCAGACAACAAAGAGGGCGGAATTCCTGCAGGGACACAGGCATTGCTGAGGGCTGTGCTCATGGGGACCTGCGGGGTACTCTCAGAGGGCCTGGGTGGTAGGGGTCAGGCTTGGCAAGTTGTTGTTGTGCGTGGAAGCCGGGAAGAAGATATTCTGGACCTCCTGGGTAAAGATTCCCTAAAATCTCAGCTGGTGGCTGCGAGATGTTCTTCCAAGGCCTTCCTTGCAAATCTGCCTGGAGAGAGCGCGGCTGTGCCCCACGCCCTGCGCTTTCATTAACCCATCTGCACACCAATCCATGACAATGATGCTCTCATATTTTAACCAGCAGACTGTAATGGCAAATACAATGAACTCCCACGGTGGCAACTAAATATTGATTTCCTTCTGCAAAAATCTTGGCACTTGGAGCCGAACCGTGAAGCTCAGGATGTGAAGTTTGCTCAGGAAGACCCACAAGTGCGGGCCGGGAATGGATCAAAAACCATTCTAGAAAGTGTGTTCTTCAGATGTTCCCCAGCAGTGGGGTGGCTGCAGGCTCCGTGGGTGGCCGAGGGGACTGGCTAAGCATTCCGCTAGGGGTGGGGGAGGACAGCAAGGCCCAGGCAGTGGGATCCTTGACCACTGATCCTACAGTGGCATTTCTGGGCCTAGGGATGGAGGCACTGACCCTGATTTAACCGCCCCTATCAACTGCATTATGCCCTCTGTGGTTTCCATGCACCTTTGGAGGACAACACCTTTATCAATTCTCTCCATATTAAGGAGAAAAGATTCTTAAAACACAAAAGAGCAGTAGAAAACTGCCTCCCACTATCAGCCGAAGGGAAAGTGGCTGAGCCTCAGTCTGGACTTGCGGAGGGCAGAGATGGCTCACTGTTCTCACTCTGAGGCCCAAAGCGGACAACCAAGCCAACAGTCAACCCCCCCCGAGTGCTTCATCCTGTGTTCAAATTCCGGCTGGAAACTCTTAACTCACCAGGCCGAAGCAAAGACAGAGCGTGCTGTCTGTCTGGGCAATAGTACTCCACGCCACGTGCTGTGGGAGAGCCCCATGCTTCACGGCTGAGGACATGGTGACACCGTCCTGCTTATTGATAATTTTCCTGCTTATTGATAAGCCTGCGGGCCCTTGCCACGTGTTCAGAGACAAATTCCGAATACTGGCTCAAATACACCAGACAACGTGGTAAGTTTCTAAGGATTTTATTCAGTGAGAGAAACATGCAGGAGAGTGAGGACTTCATTTAGGGGAGAAAGAGAAGTCTAGAAGCTAAGTTGGGTCCATAGCAAGCAGAGAGCAGGCCAGGAGCCACATGGAGCAAACATGCAGGGAAGAAAACAGAGAGCGGGCAGCCCAAAGTCCACGCACCCCGGAGGCAAAGCAAGGGCAATAAGGGAGGGGCCCACCATGTTCCAGGCCTTTCATCACTTCCTAAGGGGATAAAAGGGGAGTGGTTACGTAGCCTGATTGGCAGGTGGGCATACAAGTGGGACCAAGTAGGGATGTGAGATCACACAGGGGGTGTGGTCTTCCAGCTCGCAAACCTCATCGAATTTATCCTATCTGTCTGCTTACATCAACGGGACTCAAAGGGTTGTGTTACCCTAGCCTTTTGGGGGCTAAAATCCTTGTGTCTGGTCCTACAAGGCCCTGCCTGCTCTGGCCATGCTCTCTCCAGCCTCGGCCTTAACAGCAGGGCCCCTCCATCCGGAGGGCTTTCCCCACCCTTCACCTGCATAGCAACTGCTTTCCCTGCAGACCCTGGTGGGAGCGCTATTTCTGTTGCAATTCCTATCGGATTCAATTTGGGGTATGTTTGACTATGGGTGGCAGCAAACTCAACTTCTCACGCTTAAACAGATAGAGCTTTATTTATTTTTCATTTAAGCAGCCAGTAGAGTGCATACTCTAGGGCTGACATCACAAAGAAGGAGACCCTTCCTGTCTTGTCATCCCCCATCCTTGGGGCACTTGGCTGCCTCATGGTTGCAAGATGGGTGTCCTAGCTCCAGGTATCACCTCTATAGTTCAGTCCGGAAGAAGGAAGGATAAAGAACGAAGGCCATGGAAGTCGTTTGATTCATTCATGTGTTTATATATTTATGTATTTATTAACAGGAAAGTAGAATTTTCTAGAAATATCTAGCTAGGACACTTTGGTTGTTGTGGACTGGAGGCTTTGCCAGAATCCATACCGACTTAGAACACCTTCAAGTCGCTCTTGGGACTGGGTAAAGGCCTTAAGCTCCTTGAGATAAGAAGGATTTCTTCGTACCTGAAACCATGAGGTTTGTGTGAGCAACAGATACCGTCTGCTACCCTCCCTGGCCGTGCCAGCGTCGTCCCTTGTTATACTCCAAGGTGGCCATCACAGGTCTGCTTCTGTGCTGAGCGGTGTGGCTGCAGAAGGGAATACACCCTACCTGCTTCCCGGCCCCTCTGGAGGGAGGCTGTACGGGCCTCGTTACTGAATGAATGAAAGAGACGGTCTTGCTAACGAGGTCATCCAGTCAGCACAGAAATAGCTCCTGTGATGGAAACTCCTCTCCCTTGGCAGCACGGGATGTTCCTGGCCAGCGCCCCCACCCTCGTGCTGATCTGACTCCGTGTCTTGGAACACACCGAGTCTCCCCGAAATTCAGATGTGGAAGTCCTAATCCCTCGCACTTCAGAAGATGGCTGCATGGGGAAATGGGGTCTTTACAGAGGGAAGACGAGTTCAGTGAGGTCACGGGGGTGTCCTTCTAAGAAGAGGGGAAGCCACAGGCAGGCACAGAGCGGCCGTGCGGGAAGGCACAGGGAGAAGACATCCGTGGGAAGTCAGGGAGCGAGGCCTCGGAAGAAGCCAGTTCTGCCAACACCTTCAGCTGGGGCTCCAGCCTCCAGCATGGCTGCTGACGCCCCAGCCGGCAGTGCCCCGCCGGGGCAGCCCTGCCGGAAAACCAGGCCAGCTCCCCTCCCCCACGGCACGCCTCCACTTACGACCAGACACCACCAGTTCGGGAGTGGGAAGGCTTTCTCACAGGCCTGTCCTGTAGCAGCGTGCCATGTCTCCTCTCTAGCCCTCAGACCTGCAGCTGGATGGAGGACAAGCCGGGGGTTCGATCCACTTCTGGGCAAGTGTCTTTCCCTGAGGCAAAGTAACACTTTGTATCCTTGACCTCTACTTGGACTGGCCGCAGTGGATCAGGTCACACACACTTGGGTGTTTTGTTTTTGTCGGGAGTACTCACGCCTTAACATTACTTTCCCAACTCTTATAAACAAAAAAGAGCCAAACGGGTGATTCATGCTTGCCTGAAAAACTGATACCTACGATGGGCTTATGTAAGTGTCTCTGAATAAAAGGGATTTTCCTTCGTTAGGGGTTTGTGGTAGCTGTTACCGTAACAGTGATCTCACTTGGCAAGAGTGGCCGTCCCCTCTCGGGCTGGGGCTGTGTTAGTCAGCAGCCACTAGAACAGGCTGCATAACAAACTGCTCCAAACTGGTTCTAATGCCTAGGAACTGACTAAGGCGGCTCTGCTTCAACGTGAAGATCAGGTTCAAATCGGCCCATGAGCTGGTGAGCTGGGCATGATCCTCTCAAGGTGGAGGTCAGAACCTCCCAGAGGGGTGGGCAGATATACAACCCCCTTAGGATGAGCACACTTTCACTCCCACTCACAGTTCACTGTCCAAAGCCAGTCACACAGACCAACCCAAAGTCGCTGTGTGTGTCTGGGTGTGGGGATGCCCGTTGCCAGGGAGCAAGGGCAAGGGTGGTGAATATTTGCTCAACACTAATCCAATCTACCCGCATCTGGTCGGGGAAGTCCTGGGAGGGCAGGCATTACCTGGGAAAGGCCCTGGAAGCCAGGGTTCCATCAAGTAGGGCTGAGACCCTGGGGAAGCTAGGAGTAGATGGACCCAGAGAATGAAGCAACCCTTGACCTTGACTGTCGGGCACGGGAGTCAGAAGCAGAGAATTCAAAACTGGCGAGATCCACAAGGTCAGCGGTACATCCAAGAAGAACAGGAGCCTGAAGCACACTGGAAGGCACAAGCTGCCCGGAGTGAGGGTGCACACATCTGGCGGAAGCGCCCAGTCAAATGGTAGCCAAAAATACCCCCTAGATTCTTCCTTGCCTGCTGTGGTTCGAGCATGGTCTGTCCACTCTGAAACCACGTTGAGATTCCCCTGCCAGGACGGCAGTGTTGAGTTGGGGTCTTTAAGGGGTGACTAGGCCATCAAGAGGGGTCAGTATCTTTCTGGCGGCTCTGGATTGGATCCTGCGAGGGTGGGATGCCATAAAGCAAGGCTTCCCCTCGTGTTCTCCCTCTTCTGCACAACCCCATGTGGCTTCTGCTTTTCTGCCAAGTCACGACTCAGCACGAGGCCCTCCAGAGATCTCGGACTTCTAGAACCAGGACCTAATTAACAAACTTCTTGCCTTTACAAATTGCCCAGGCTCAGGTATTCTGTTCTAGAACACACAGTGCACCAAAACACCAGCCCACCTTCCACAGAGTCCTTTTCTCTTTAGTTCTCCCTGAGGCCCACTCCCCTATCCTCTTGCCCAGCACTGCTCTCAGACCACGCCCCTCTTCACTCATCCTGTCCGTTCCCTACAAAGGCTCCACAAAAACCTTCCTTAGTGACAGTGGGGCAACCTTAGGAGCAACCGATCCCTTGCACTTTGTGTGAGTAAATCACACAGCTGGCTGGTCTGTTACTCTGTCCTGACTGGGAAGCTGGAGGTACAGAGACCCTCAGAATAAGCAGCTTGCAGGGGTTCCAGGGGCTCCAAAATCAGTTAGAGCAAGACTGAGCCCACCACTGTTGCTTTGGGGTTTATCAATTCTATTGCTGCATGAAGCATCATTTGAAAGCCCAGTGGCTTGGAACAGCAACTGTGTATTATTTCTCACAGGTATGTGTGTCAGCTTGTGGGTCAGGAACTACAGGCAGGGCTCGGCTGGGTGGTTCTGCGCTTCTCTGCCTGGTTCACTCATGCACAGTCAGTTGGGGACCAACTGATGGAGGATGGGGTTGTTGGACATGGCCTTGCTCTACATGCTTCAGTGATCCTTTCTGGACTAGTGAGCTAATCCAAGCATATCCTTCTCATGACAATCCCAGAAGTGTAAAGGAATAGGCAGAGGGGCCGGTGTCGTGGCTCACTTGGTTAATCCTCTGCCTGCGGCACCGGCATCCCATATGGGCGCCGGGTTCTAGTCCCGGTTGCTCCTCTTCCAGTCCAGCTCTCTGCTGTGGCCCGGAAAGGCAGTGGAGGATGGCCCAAGTGCTTGGGCCCTGCACCCGCATGGGAGACCACGAGGAGGCACCTGGCTCCTGGCTTCAGATCGGCACAGTGCACTGGCCGTGGCGGCCATTTGGGGAGTGAATCAACGGAAGGAAGACCTTTCTCTCTGTCTCTCTCTCTCTCACTGTCTGTAACTCTGTCAAATAATTTTTAAAAAGGAATAGGCAGAAACACCTGCAAGGTTCTTGAAACCTACACTCAGAATGGGCATACTGTCAAAAGTTCCGGGACCTCCAAGATCTACTGGAAAGACCCACAGAGCTTAGTAAAGCTGTTATACTCATGGTTATATAGTTCACTACTGGAAAAGGGTAGGGATGGGTGGACAATGGGGAACAGGTGCAGGGGGAGGGTGCAGGAGACAGCAGGTGTGACTTTGCAGTTGCTCTCGCCCCCTAGCAGAGTAGTCCAGACAGTGTTTAGTCCTCCTAGCAACGACAGGACCACAGCCAGGGGATGGAGCCAGCAGGCAACTCACCTGAGCTTTGGTGTCCAGGAATCCTGCTGGGAAATTCCTCACCTCTCCCTGAACTCATGCCTGTGTGTGGCTGCCCTTAGTTCCCAGTCTCCCAGAGGAGGTTAAGCTGATGCCATGTGGCACACAGCCCCAGCCATGCCTTTCGGTGTTTGCAGAGACCAGCTGGCACAGGGGAACACCTGGGAACACAGATGAACAATGACACTCCATCAGGCAGGACCTTCGGAAGGCATGAAGGTTATCTCGCAGGAACCAAGAGCCAGCCAAGGGCTCGAGCTTTCTTAGCCATGGCAGGGTTTGGACCCCCTAGATTTGCAAATTAGGCCTTTATTGCTCACAGACCTTCTGCCTCATTCTGTTGGCCAAAGCAACTCATACAGCCGAGCCAAGAGTCAGTGTGGGAGGGCACAGCAGTTACGTAGCAAGAAGCAAGGGTTTAGGGAGAGGTGAGGAACGGGTATAATTGCACCAATCTTCCACGAGGGCTAGCACAAGGCAGCCTTCGGGGTCTTTCATGGTCTTATCATTCCTAGGACACAATACAAACGCCCACATCTCTGTACTTCCCATCCACAGCCTCTCATCTATCCAGAATATTACAACTGTGGCGCCAAGATTTGCCTCCCCCGGGAAACCCTCTCTGACCACCTCCTCTTGAGCAGATGTCACTCAAACTAACGAACCACAGTTCCCCCTCTTCTAATGCTCTGAGATGAGTGACCCCTCCCTACTACTCTCTGAATCCTCCCCTGTCCCCTCCTCCTGATCATCCCAGACTCCATTTCACCCAGGGCGAGGCTTAACCCAGGCTCAGCTTTGCTTCAGAGACTCCCAGGCCCGACCTGGAAACACGCCTGTTCTCTCCAGGAGTGGCGAGTGCAGAGCCATTCTGACTGCTGTGTGCAGTCCCCAGTCGTCACATTGCCCAGCCGGGTTCTTCTCCTCCCACAGACTGAAGCTACTTCCACTGCAGCGCCGAATGAGTTCGAACCCTTTGCAATCCAGGCCTCTATCGCCCAGGCCTGTAAAGCACGTTATGAGCAAATACACTGCCTTCACCTCGGTGCCCAGGGCATGGAGGCGGGGTTCAGGACACGCCGTCCAATCAGAGCGATGCCTTGGCCTATCTCAAAGCAAATCCAAGACACCTGGCGATTTGATCTGACTCAAGCACTTGGCCCCCATCAGCTGCCTCCCAGGCAGGTTAGCAGGAACCCGGGTGGTCAGTGGGGTATCTGAGACTTGAATCAGTGCTTAGAGGGGATGCTGGCATCACAAGGGGTGGCTTAGCCTGCTGCACCCCAGGGCAGTGCGAGGCAGAGGCATGTGTGTATGTGTGCCCTGGTCTCCCTCTTTCCTCTTACAAAACCACCAAGAGGCAACCGCGAGGGCTCCACCCTGATGAGCTTATCCAAGCCTGGCCACCCCCAAAAGCCCCACTTTGAACACCACAGGCAGACTAAGGCTCCACCCTCTTCCTACCTGAAAATGGGCACGAAGGTCCAACCTAGGGTTCCCAGGGGACAAACAACATTCACACCGCAGCAGGACCACAGCATCACACAGCACCACTGTGTGCCTGTGCAGGGTTCTTGCTAGAACCATCCAATCGAACCCAAGCACGAGGAACCCCATCTCAGGCTTGATGGTCATCGTGCATGGTTGGGTAGGAGGAGGTCCCTGTTCTGGGGACAATCGTGCCGAAACACAGAGAGGAGCCCCATCAAGGGCCCACAGCCTGCTTTTGCATGGTTTGGCTGAATGGAAGTGTGCATGCGCATGGCCAAAGAGACAGAGTGGGTATGACACGTAGCTATTCGTTGGTAAATCTAGATCAGTGGCTTAAAGGAGTCCACTGTACTCTTCTTTCAAATCTTCTGTGGTTTTTGGATTTTTCAAAACAAATGAATAAGTAATAACTATGCTAGGTCCTGCCTCTAATGTTTTCTAATTCAATTGCAAACTGGAGGTCAGTATATTTTTAAATTTTACCCTGAAGATTCAAATGTATGCCCAATATTGAGGACCTTAACTCTATAGTAGCCCTTGAACAAGGGTCATAGAACCACTTGTGTCAGAACCCCCAGGGCTGCTGGTTAAGAGCGTAAACCCTGAGTCTCCTTTACGCACAAGAACCAGGGACCCTGGAGCGGAGGCTAAGATAAGCCCCATGGAGGATTCTGACACTGATACAGGAGAATCATTGATTAAAACTCCGGCCAGGGAGTATTGGGTCAGATCTCCAATCTAGATTGCTACAGGGTCCAGGAGGCAAACTGAACAAGTGAAACAGGCTGGGCGTAAGACAATAGGGAGTGGTGGGGACTAAAACAAACAGCAGAATGTAAGCCCAATTTAAAGCTCCCGTTCCAGTGGACTGGAATAAGAATGTGTTGCCTAGTGTTGCTAGATCTTTTTTTTCTTTTCTCCTCAAGAAAAATTTAAAAATCTGAAGTTTTTATTGTAAACTTTCCCAAATTTAAAATGCTTATGATTTACTCAAGAAATATTTGAATACTTTTCAAACTAAACAAAACATTTCGAGATGTTGTCTTCAGACTAGTGACCAGTCACTTGTAACTTCTGACCTGGACTTAGCTACAAGACCAGAGCACTACAAGGTCCGTGGTTCAGGGGCACCTTAGCTCATCGGAGAGAAACCCCACAGCCTGCACACTCCCTGTTGCTGGATCACTGCCAGTGGCTTCCTCAGCAGGAACCCGCCCCCCCAATACCCAGGGCAGACAGTGTGAGGGTGATTTAGTGATGGTGCACCTCCAGCTGGGGCTGGAGACACAGCATCCCAAGGGTCCCTTGCCAGCAGCCCGGAAGCCTAGCAGGGCTCCAGGGCATTGCCTGAACCACAGCCCCTCCTCTCCCTGGAACCATTGCAGGGCCAACAGCAAGCAAGTGGCTTTCTGAGCCCAGCCCAAGGCTGGGGGAGCACGAGAACTGATGAGAGCAGACCTTCTACTCCAAAGAGTTTTCTTCTTATGCTAACACTTTCTGGGGCTCCCAGTCCAGCAACCATGGCAAGTGCCCATGGATCCCAGTGTATTAAGGCCTTCGTCCCATCGACCCCCACAAGGTGCGTGAACTTGGGCAAGCTGCACAGCCTCTTACATGACCAGACCCTCCCTGGGGAAGGAGGACTATTGTCAATAAGTTCTCAGTGTCAGAACTCACCTCAAAACAAATTCTAATGAAATTTGACAGCAAAACTCAAAAATAAAACATATGCAATAAAGGGTTTCCTCAAGCAGTCCAATTTTTTTCCAAGACTATCTGGGTTATGTCAATGCTTGCCAAACCCCTCATGCAAGCCCAAGATTCCAGGGAGCAGAGTTCAAAAACTATGGGGTTTTCTTATTTTCAAGACCTTTTTCCAATTTAGGAATGCACATCCAAGATGGTCACGAGCAATTTCCTCTACACCACTCATCAGTTCAGAACCTTGACTATGACTTCAAGGACGGCTGCCTCTCTAAGGCATTCGCTGAAGACTCCTGGTTACACAACACTGTACTGGATTCTAGAAAGAGAAACAGCCACAGCCTCTCATGCCCAGAGTTAGGGTTAGGGCTGTCCCAGGGGCAAAGAGGAAAGGGATCTTGGACATATTCTAACCCTGTATTTATTTTTTTATTTGACAGATAGAGTTAGAGAGTGAGAGAGACAGAGAAAAAGGTCTTCCTTCTGTTGGTTCACTCCCCAAATGGCCGCTATGGCCGGTGCTGTGCTGATCTGAAGCCAGGAGCCAGGTGCCTCCTCCTGGTCTCCCATGTGGGTGCAGGGGCCCAAGCACCTGGGCCACAGCAGAGAGCTGGACTGGAAGAGGAGCAACCGGGACTAGAACCCAGCACCCAAATGGGATGCCAGCGCTGCAGACAGAGGATTAACCAAGTGTGTCACGGCGCCAACCCCCTAACCCTGTATTTTATAATCTAACCTAACCTATGACTGTTTTCTCATAAACAGAAGTCTCGTTGATTTTTTGATGTAATCTGTATTCCCTGTTTTGGGAAAGCTTTTGTCCAGCTTTGCCTTGAGCAGTTTATATTATGAAAACAATACTGTTTTTCCATATACAAAGAAGAATTAAGTAACAGTGTGTTGTGGACCTTGCTTTTTCCAAAATATACCTATGTCACCCCCAAAGAATGCCCCACACCTCCACCCTCATCCATTGAGAAAATCAGATGCCATTAACTCTCCTTCATTTATACCTGAACTTGGTCTGCCCAACCTTAAAACACAAAGATGTATTATGGGGAATGTGACAGGGGACTAGTGAGGGCAAAGGTGAAAGAAGACTGCCTTGAGTTGATGAAAGTTGTGTATACTGAGTAATGGGGGGGCCGGCATTGTGGCACAGTAGGTAAAGCCACTGCCTGCAGTGCCAGCATCCCATATGTTCAAGTTCTGGCTGCTCCACGTCCAATCCAGCTCTCTGCTGAGGCCTGGAAAAGCAGTGGAAGTTGTCCCAAGTCCTTGGGCCCTGGCACCCATGTGGGAGACGGGAAGAAGCTCCTGGCTTCAGATCGGCATCACTCTGGCCAGTGCAGCCAATTGGAGAGTGAACCAGTGTATGAAAGACCTCTCTCTCTCTCTCTCTCTCTCTCTCTGCTATTCCTTCTCTCTCTGTGTAACTCTTTCAAATAAATAAAATCTTTATATAAGAAAAAAAGGAAACTGAGTTATGGGTATAGAGGGCTTTAAAAAAAAAACTGTTCTTGGGGCTGGTGCTGTGGTGCAGTGGGTGAATCCTCTACCTGCAGCACTGGCATCCCATATGGGTGCTGGTTCTAGTCCTGGCTGCTTCTCTTCTGATCCAGCTCTCTGCTATGGCCTGGGAAGGCAGTAGAAGATGGCCCAAGTGCTTGGGCCCCTGCACCAGAGCAGTGGACCTGGAAGAAACTCCTGGCTCCTGGCTCCGGATTGGCGCAGCTCCAGCCGTTGCAGCCATTTGGGGAGTGAACCAGTGGCTGGAAAACTCTCTGTCTCTCTGTAACTCTACCTCTCAAATAAATAAATTAAATACTTTTTTAAAAAAAGTTCTTTCCACTTTGTATGTTTTCAAATTCTCTATAATTAAGTGGTTAAAATTAAAAGAATTTTCCAAAACAAAAAGGTGAAAATGAAGACCATCTAACGTTGGTTCCTATACCGAGTCTCTACTTCCTAACATACTGGTTTTGCTGCACCGTGTCTCCCATTGCTCCCGCTGGGAAAGAGGAAGAATTGCAACTGTCCTAGGCCACACCTCCAGGAGCTTATTCCCTCACCCACCTCTTGCTGACAGCAGATGTCCACACCACTCAAAGTCTTCTCTAGCCCCGTGGGCAAGTGACTGGCTTTCCCTCCAGTCATGCCTGCCTGACGGGTCCTGGTGTGTTTCCTCCATGCACCATGACTGATGCACACAGCAATTGTTGAGAACTGGTGACACTTGGCTTCCCCAGCCAGGTTGAAATAACTCACCTGCATGCTAAGCAGTGAAGAAAAGACGCTGGGTGCCTCCAACCATGAGCAGTGTGTCTTCCAGGAGCGAAACACCAGAGGCTGTGGGGTTCAAACACCGGGTGGGGGAGGTGGAGCAGGAGGGCACCCAAAGGGCCGACATCCAAATTATCCGCCTGCGACAGAATGCTGCCAACTAATTAAACATAGGAAAACCTCGTTAGGGAAGATAATCCTATTGCATCAACTTGCAAGATTTTTCCAGCCAGCTTCTGCCTCTCGGAGCTTCAATTAAAAGCTGTTTAGCAGATGGCAAATTCTGAGTCACAGAGTTAGACTCTCTGGCAACCATATGTGCTTTTGGCTTCCCAGGGGATCCTGGCCACATGCGGCCCTAGAACACTGCTCCAGGGACACAGAGCTGCTCCAGGGACACAGCAGAGAGCGCCTGGGCCATCTTAACACACAGGTGACAGGGATTTCCACACCAGCGTCAAGGGCAATGAGCAGCAGGGGCTTTCTTTTTAAAGCAAAAATCCTAGGGCCCTGGGAGCTATAACTCACCAGTGCTGGAAGGGAGCTTGAACCTCGTCTTGTACAGTCCATTCTTTTGACAGAACGGGGAAACTGAGGCTTGTCTGAGGAAGCCACAGCCTCCCCTGGGTGCCGTCAGAGAGAAACCAAACCAAACCCTAAGGAAGGGTGGTGTGGCAGATTGTATGCAGACTACTGCAAGAGAGGCAAGACCTCCACGCGCTCTAAGCTCAACTCTACCAAAACAAAACGTGGGAGCGTTTCAAATGCTAGAGTACTAAGCCAAAGTACTGAAGGACATGAAGGGCATGGTCAACGTGACTGAGCCACCTGTGCTGGCGGCTAACTGATGTTTACTGAACTTGGGCCTCGCCAGGACGGGGCCAGGCTGAAGCCAGGAGCCAGGAGCCAGGAGCTTCAATCCGGGTCTCCCTCACGGTGCAGGGGCCCAAGTACCTGGGCTATCATCATCCACTGGCCCGGGAGGGGAGCAGCCAGGTCTCCCGAGCAGGCGCCCGTATGGTCAGAGTCTCCCAGAAGAGACAACACGAGCTTGGGGTGTGTTCCCCAGAAGCAGAGCCGGAAAGGAGAAATGACATAAGGGAATCATCAAAGGAGAGCTCTCAGAAGAAACCTGTGCAGACACGAGAGAAGATGGGGCAGGGGGAGACGCCAGGCCAAGATGGGGTTCTGCTGAAGTCCTGTCTCTGACCCCGAGTACAGAGCTACAACGTGAACCCCACGGCAGAGCCGCAGGCCCCTGAGTGGAGGGCTGGACATTCGCGTTCCTTCGCCGCCAGTCATTGGCAGCGGGCTGCTTCCGGGGGAGGGCGCCCGAGCTCCTGCGTATTTCCGGGCGCAAAGGCCTTCGGGTATGAGGAGGGCGCTATCGCGAGCGGCTGTGAGAGGCTAACTCTCGCTATGCCTTGGGGATAATAAAAAGGGCTGGATGACGCCAGCCTGTCCCAGGATCCCCGGGAAGGGCCAGGAGAGCAGAGTTCACCGCGTGGGGCATGCGGGAGGTGGGATGGCGGGCGTCGTGGGGAAAGTTAAGGAAGGGAGAATGAGACGCTGGGAAGGACGCGGGGCGCCACACAGGGTCCATGGGACACTGTAGGCGGGGCGGGGGAGCAGACAGCAGTTATTGTCGGTGGGAAGGACTCTTTCCCCAGCTTGGGGAATATTTTGTAAATTCTTAGGTATTTGAAAGGCGCGGAGGCGGAGAGGTCTTCCACTCACTGGTTCACCCCCCCAAATGCTCAACAATGGCCAGGTCTCCCACATGGATGGCAGGCACCCGGGTCCTTGAGTCGTCGTGAGTGAGCATCAGCAGGAAGCCGGAGTGGACGTGGAGCCGGGGCTCAAACCCAGGCCCTGTGATGTGGGGTGCAGGTGTCCATGTGCACCCTGCGCTCACCGGGGGCTGCAGCTGGGGCCCCTGGGAGCGGCAGCTGAGCAGGGATAAAAGAGGTGGTAACTGGGCGCACAGAAAGACACGCGGCTGAGGGTGAGGGGCGCTTGGGCAGCTCCCATGTGCGAGGTTGCAGCAGCTCGGCCCCCAGTCGCGGCAGGAGGGAGCTGTGGAATCTTCTCAGGCCCGTTTCTTTGAAGAGGCACCTGCAGCCAGGGGCCCCGGAAGCCCCAGCACAGCCTCCCGCTGCTGTCTCGTTCACATGAGGCTGTAGGCTGGCCTTGGCCCTGGCTCTGAACTCATCTTCTGGCAAAGCCGGTTGCTCAGGACCTTGAGTTCTGCCTGGTGTTCACACGTTGATAAATTGGTGTTTTGTTCTGTTTTTCTGCTTCTTTGAGAAGCTATTTCCTTTTGGCAAGATGGGCACTGTTGTAACCTTTTTCCCTCTCTGGGACCTCGAGCCTTCGACGTGTTCTCAAAAATAAAAGAATGTTTTGCAAGGACAGACTGTTTTCCGTGTCTGCTCCTTGAATCTTCCACTTTGCTGATTGGAACACACCTATCTTCAAAAAACGTTTCCTCTGCGGAGTTTAATTTGACACACACCTTTCTACCCTGGGGAGGTGATTTTTTTTTTTTTTGTATGTGATTATAGTTGTAAAAGCACTGAGGAAGTTGCAAAGTTGCATGAACAAAGACTCTACTCAGAACCTAACTCCTAAAAGGTGTCAAGAGAGTAGAAAGTGTCTTGTTGCCATCGTGTGGTGGTGTCTACCCAAAAGACCAAACTGCTATCTGGTTGATAAACAGAAAGCAAAGTATAAAACAGCACCCAGACTCCATGGATGGCTTGCATAACTAGCACATCCCTTCTTATTTTTCTTTTTTTAAATTTTTAAATTTATTTTTATGTATTTGATGGTCAGAGGGAGAGAGAGGTTAACTACTGCACCAAATACCCAGCCCATCTTTTTTTTTTTTTTTTGAGACAGGCAGAGTTAGAGAGACAGAGAAAGGTCTTCCTTCCATTGGTTCACCCCATAAATGGCCGCTACGGCCGGCACTGCACCGATCCGAAGCCAGGAGCCAGGTGCTTCCTCCTGGTCTCCCATGCGGGTGCAGGGGCCCAAGCACCTGGGCCATCCTCCACTGCCCTCCCGGGCCACAGCAGAGAGTTGGACTGGAAGAGGAGCAACCGGGACTAGAACCCGGCGCCCATATGGGATGCCAGCGCCGCAGGCAGAGGATTAACCAAGTGAGCCAAGGCACCGGCCCCGAGCCCATCGTTTTTCTAATAACTAAAGTAATTTTTTCATATTCCCAGGAAGCGCTCTGGTTTCCATTACCCCTTTGGTGCTGTTCCCGGGTATTTCCCAGGCCATTGTATGCTCCCGTCGTTCATTCATCCCATACGTGCAGTTTGCAGCTCCTGTGGTGTGGCAGCCACAGTCAGGTGCCGGAAATGCAACTACGGACAAGGGGCTTACGGTCCCAGCTTTCATGGAGCTTAGAATTTAGAAAGAGAAATGGGCGTTGAGCACAACATGTAAGCAAAATTTATTTAATTACGGTTGAGACAGCCTTAAGAAATAAAAATGCAGACAGACTCTGTGTCTGCAATTTCCACATCCGTGGCTTCAATGAAGCACAGATAATAATTAAAAAAAAAAACAAAACTCATCTGTACTAAACACATACAGGCTTCTTTTTCTTGTCATCATTCCCTAAGCAATGCACTAAAATTACTGTTTACATAGCTTTGGCATTATATTATTGTAATATTATTGCAATTATTGAAGCTGCAGCCGCTCACAATGGCTGTGAGAAAGTTAAGAACCTGCTAGGACACAAGGGGGATGCTTTGAAGCTGGGACCCAGAGGGCGGGTAAGAAGTGGTCAGATAAAGAGGGGGGAAAGTGCTGGGGAGAGGAACATTCCAGACAGTGAGTTCCGGCTCAGTAGGAGATTGTCTGAAGGAAGAAAGCAGTGCGGCTGCGACCTCGTGAGCAAAGGTTCGTAATAAGAATCTCACAACTTACAAGGGCTCAGTGGGGGCAACTAAGATGCCATCAGGTGCATCACGCTTAGCCTTAGTCTCTTGGTTACCTACTGATGTCTGGAACTTAGCACGAGAACGTCATTTACTCTTACGCCATCATGGCTCTGAGGATTGGCTGGATTCCGCAGCCAGTCTCACTTGGGGTCTCTCAAGGGGCTGCGGCACCTTGAAGCCTTGCTCATTCCCGTGTTTGGCGCCCGGACAGGAAAACTTAGAATCAGAACAGCCGTGGCTCCGCGTGCAGGGCTTGTTCCCGCTCGCCCACTCTCTTTCCTCCATGTGGGTCCTGCAGTGCATGCAACAACTCCAGGGCTGTCGGACTTCCAGATGGCTTCCAGAGCGGTCCCGGGGATGCACAGCCTTTGTTAAAAAGTATTTATTTGGAAGGCAGAAGGACACAGAGAGGGGGAGACACAGAGAGAGAGGTTTTCCATCTGCTGGTTCACTCCCCAAATGGCCTCAACAGCCAGGCTTGAGCCAGCCTGAAACCGGGAGCTAGTGACACCATTCAGGTCTCCCACATGGGTGGCAGAAGCTCAAACTTTTGGACCATCTTCCGCTGCTTTGCCAGGCACATTAGCAGGGAGCAGGATTGGAAGTGGAGGAGCCGGGACTCGAACCGGCACTCTAACGTGGGATGCCCATGTAGGCAGTGGCTTGATCCGTCGCAAACCTGTGTCAACCCCTGCGAGACCTAGATTTAGGACTCAGGCTGTGTCACTGCTGCCACGTAATGCTCACCTGTGTGATCACAAAGGACATAGACTTCTCGCTAGTTGGAGGCTCAAAGAATCTGCAGACGTTTGAAAACCATTATGCCAAGGTTGACTGTAGAACTCACTGCCCAGGGCCAGACACTCTATAAAAAGTCAACATGGGCATTTTTCGGCACAACATGAAACTGTGCTTGGTGAACCAAGGCAAATGATCACAATGGCCACACAGTGAAGGCACCAAGCCCTCTGACATTCTTTGATCTTTCTGACCTTCATTGTGTGTGTGTGTGTGTGTGTTTTTAAGGATAACTTATTTATTTATTTGAAGGCAGAGTTACAGAGAGGCAGAGGCAGAGAGAGGGAGGGAGAGAGAGGTCTTCCATCTGTTAGTTCACTCCCCAATTGGCTGCAACAGACGGAGCTGTGCTGATCCAAAGCCAGGAGCCAGGAGTTTCTTCTCGGTCTCCCACATGGGTGCAGGGGCCCAAGCACTTGTGCCATCTTCTACTGCCCTCCCAGGCCATAGCAGAGAGCTGGATCGGAAGTGGAGCAGCTGGGACTCAAACCGGCGCCTAAATGGGATGCTAGGACTGCAGGCGGCGGCTTTACTCACTAAGCCACAGCGCCGGCCCCCCCGGTTATGACATTTTCAAATATGCACTTTCCTCTTTGGACCATGTGCTTTAAATTTCCTTTTCTGTGACTCCATAATGCCTTGCTTCTAGAAAATGAATACTATCTCCAAGTGTCTTTTTCATAATGACTCTGGAACTTGGGAGCTGTAGATCTCGTCTCACGACATCGCTCACAGAACTGACACAGCTGTTGGCACTGTGGGTATCTAATTAGGATGCCTTCGCTCTCGAGACGAGAGAAAGCCTAGCAATGGAAGACTTTGCTTCAAAAAATGCTTTTTAAAAGAATTCACTTTTGGGCGAAGTGGTTAAAAAAATCACTGTGATGACTCACCAGTTGCAATCAAATCCTTCATCCCAAAAAATGTTTTTATAAGAAGTGGGTGTTTTTTCTTTCCCCTAAGGCAGACGGCACAATGTTTGGTGCTTCTCCTTCTGAGTAATATGTTCCACCCTGGTGGAAAATGACAGCTTCACACTTGAGCCAGTGGTGATTTATTTTCAGAGCTGTGCACGGTACCCCCCTCACCCTAGGGTTTGGTTCCACCTCTAGCCCGAAGGGGAGTTCGGCCATCAGATCACCACCCCCCATCAACACAGGACCCCTTTCCCTGCTCTCTCTGCAGCCAGCCAGCCACCACCCTGGGTTTCTGAAGGCCCCATAGCATCTTAAAGGCTTGGAGAAAGTTCTGGAAACAGCACCCAGGTGTAAATAGGCACAGCACAGTGGATGCCCTTCTGCAGAGCCTTAGTCTCCACACAGCACTCTTCCTTCTTTCCAGAGCTCGCCATTGCAAAACGTTGTCTTTCTGTTGTCTCCATCCCAAGACTCCACAACTCGGCAAGAAAGCAAATGTGATTCATTCCTGATCCTTGAAAGCAAACATCCCATTCTGTTCCCTTTGTTTCCTTAGAACCTCCCACAAATTTCTCTTTGCTGGAGAACAAAAATGAAAAACCGGTGCACATTTCTGTCCC